TTGGAGCCTTACTTTCAATGAGTATTATTCCAGTTTTTAAGTGCAAAAGTCCACAAAACAATATCAATTACTAGCAATACTGTTGTAAGTATTCTTCCCAAAGAGACTTATAGTCTTTAACACACGTAAATAAATTTCTCCTTGCTTTGAAGGCGGATTTAAGTGAACTAAGTACAAATCTAGTAAATAAATGATGATTTATAACACTATAACAAAGGTATAAGATGCAGAAAAGGGAACAAAAATCCCAAAATCATCCATGAGTATATATATTGATGTGTAACAACTCTTACAATGGTCAACACCCCTAAAAACCAATCAATGTGCAATTTACCCAGCCAAAGTGATAAAAGATGCAATTAGATGTTACACAGCGCTTCTTATGATGACTACAGGTGATCTTTCCTTGTAATCTGGCTGAAAACCTATTTTTAGTTACAGTTTTCTCAGATGATGTCCAATTTCTGATTACAAAAGTGCATCTTATAGAGCCCGTGATGCTGATTAATAATTGGCATCATATCAAGTACTTCTGATGAGTAATGGATGAGTTATTGAGCTGTGAATTTGAGGTTTTTGTAAGTAGATGTTGTTACATGTTTGCATGTAAGTGTAAAATTTGAAGTTCACACCAATTTCTTATTCTGCTTATAAATTTCTTCACACACCACTTTTACTAGTGGTTCAAAGTTTGTACATTATGTAATCCATGCTTCTGCATTGAATGAGCCATCTACCATCCAGTTCTGACAACATGTGACATATGTAATAAGCTGAAAATCACGCTCACACCTGGTGCCACAAGGCACCCTGGAGGGGAAACATGTCAAGGGCCAGGGCTTAGGCCACACTGTGGCCCACACACCAACCTCTTCATGGCCTTCAACAGGCATGGAATTCAGTCAAAGTCCCTTTAAAGATGGTCTTAAGCAGGGAATAGCAACCAAAAATGCAGATCTGAGGTTCTTTAAATGGAAGGCCACATTGGGCCACACCATGCTAGGCCATGGCCCTGGCCACGCCCCGGGCCACGAAAAAGGCGCCAGGTGTGAGTGTGAGCTGAAAACCTCCATTTTTGACAAAATTCACACCTTTTCACCTCTTTACACAGTAATGTTACATCATCATCTATAAAGTTAAAAATCCCGGAAAATCATCTTGGGAAGCTTGAAAATTACTACCACCACCATTACATATGTAAGGGCCTGTTCGGTTTGTTTTTGCATATTATATGCCCTGAAAACGAAATTTCGTTTTGCCCCTATATGAAGGGGCACATAAAGATATTGGTAATTCAGATATCGAGATTACCAAACAGATATCCAAACAGAGGTCAACAGACCTCTGTTGACCTCCGTTGATCATATTGCTGTTTGGTAACGATAATAATGAAATACAATCTGATCGATTATTCCCCCCAAAAAAACCAAAATGGTTATCAAGACCATTCTCATCTTCCTTGTTCACCTACAACGAGTTTCATTGCGATTGACTTGCGATGTCCTCATACCGCAGGACTTCGAGTCCAGTCGAGCACCGTCCTCGATTGGTTTTGAGAGCTATTGTGGTTCATCCTCACTCTCAAACTCACAAATTATCGCAATTAGAATGTATTGAACAAATTCTTGCTACTCATGAACATTGTTTTACCATGTTCTCAAATCCAAATCAAAAGTAGATAACAATTTTGTATTTGATAAGATGGTTGATTGGATGACAAATGTGATCAAAGAAAAAAGTAGATAGTGATTTTCATTTAATAGCAAGTTAGATCGGATGAGGAATGTGATCGAGTAAAAAGTAGACAGCAGTTTTGATTTAAAAGGATGATTGATCGGATGCGAAGTATGAAAAAGTAGATAAAAAAGTACTCAAAAAAAGAAAGTAAATAGCAACTGTGATGAACTAGCTAGAGTATGAATCCGTGAGGATAACTGAGCAAAGTAGTGAGGATAACAAAAGAGAACTGAAAGGGGATGTGCGGGTATTGAGATAAGGAGAAAGGGATGGACAAAGAAGATGGATTGGGGAGGGGCAGATAGAGGTAGAGGCTGTAGATACAGCCCAAAGGCCGTATCTCTATTTGGACAAATATGTGAGGATGTGTGATGACATATTGACGTCACATATTCGAACCAAACGGATATGTAAATGCAACTATATGGGTCCAATATGGTCCACATAGTATATTGCTGTATGTAATAATTTTGGTGTAAAAGTCGGTCACATAATATGTGACCGACCGAACCGAACGGGCCCTAAACTACCTGTAGAACCCTTCTTTATCAACTTCAAAAAAGTACTCTTTTCCTAATAACTTTTATTCCTCCTAGTCAACCATCAAGATTAAAATTTTTACTGTATAATATAATGCTGTTCTTTCATATTGCAAACCTCACAAGACCCGTAAATCTAATATTAACCCTAAAAACCATTTCCAAACATGTATACCTATATTTTTAAATTTTTCTAATGTTTTTGTTTCTTATCTTTTCAAAATCCTTTTGCTAGTAATTCATACTGATATCAACAACTTGTTTGAAATAAATTACCTCATCATAATGTAATGTGCAATTTATAAGCCTTAAAGAGCTTCTATTGATCAGATTCCATCAATTTCAAGCTTTTCTTTGCACTGAACTTTCCTAATAACTTGGTAAACTACTTATGAGTAATTTTCTTTGATTGATCCCATAAATTGATCACCAAAACTCCTGAAACCAACCCTTTCTGACTCATATGCATTTCACCCTTCTTTCAAATTTTCATCCTCTCACTTTCCTATCATCCAAACTGACCCGCCAACTTACACAATTCTGTCAATTATGCTCATCAACCCAGAACAAATTCACATGATGCACCTGCTTCCCAACCTACACACATCATATACCACATGGCCAGCTCATACTCACTCATATTATATTTGTATACCAGATTCCCAGCTCCTCCCAGCTTTTCCACTATCTCTAAACTCTCCTACACCCGCCACTGTGTTCACCATGTGTCCTTCAGCTCCAAGGTACCATTTGGTATATCTTTAATCAATGTGGTGAGCAGGATCTCTATTTAGCAAAATTTTAGAAAATTATGTGGTAAAGTTGTGTTTTATTCAAAATCAAATTTATTGGTGAAGTTATTGGTCAGCAAGAGTCTTAAAGTTGCTTATAAATCATATGTTTATTGTTATTTCAATCATATATGTATTAAATCATCTGATAAGAACCGTTATTGGAAGAGATAAAATTCAAAAAAATAGTAAATCAGTAAAAATTAATTCAAAAGAATTAGTAAGAAAGGAATTAAAGGAGGGGGACATTTAGTTTGAATCTACAAGAAACATCTTGGAACACTCTGTGACGGTGTCGAAGGGGGATGTTTGGTGGATGCCTTTCAGGAGACTGTGTCAGGATGTCTTGCCCACTGCAAAAAATAGGACATCCTGAATGTATCCAAGTGTCCTTGTGGTGTCATAAAAGTAGATAACCAAGAGAGAGAATTCCTTTCCTCAAAACTTCCAACACAAATCAATCAATACACCAATCTCCCTTGAAATTCTACAAAGTTGATTGATATTCTCAAGTTTGTTTTCAAGTACAAGAAAACAAAATTGATCCCCAATTTCTTTTTGATCTTTACATCATCTTCTCAAACTTCTTCAGTTAGATTTATTCTTTTTCAAGTGTTTCATAACAATCTCATGATTTCCACAATCAATCCATCATATTTTAGAAAATCAATCTTTTTTTCCATTTCTTGCCACCACTGTGGCACAGAATGTGTTGCAGTCAACAAAACCCAAAGCTGTCTTACTTTAAGATTCCACATCACTGTGGAATCCAAGCCTCATGGATTGCTTATATGTCATTTTGTTTTCTTCACTATAAGTCATCACATCACTGTGGGATCCAAGCTTTATGATTTGCTTAGACATTATTTGAAATGAAAGATGTGGTGATGTGATTAGGTGTCTGATGTTGATGTGAGTGAGGATGAGTGGGTTCATGTAGCGTGTACTCAGGGTTCTGGCATTCTGGAGTGTGGGTCATTTTGAATTCAAAGTTGTAGAATGCCAGAAGAACTGCCAGAACACACCAAAGAAAAAACTTTCGGCGTTCTGGAAAAAGTCTTGTTAAAATTTCCAGAACAATACTTGAGTACCGCCCCCTACCACCTTATTGAGGAATCCAAACCTTGTGTTTTCTAATTGTCTCAGTTGAGCAGTTGTTTGTATCTACCTGCTCACAATATGTACATATATAAGCCTACATAGCTCAGCATGTAGCTGTCTCTTTACTCCTGATTGAAAGTGCAAAGTGGAAGGAGTTAAGAAAAGAGAGAAAAAGTAATTGGTGCGGCTCCTCTATGTCGTACACTGCGAAAGAAGGTTTACAGTCGATTGCAGAAAGCTTGGAAACTCTTGCCTGCCAAACTTGAGCAAATTGGCGTGGAATTCTTTCCAAGCTTTGTGAAATTGACTGTACATACTTACATAAATAAATTTGTACGTCTCAACAGTTCGGGTTCAAATCTTATCAAGTCAGATCGGCCGGAAGCTGGATTGTTGACCTTTGTTGACCAATGCGTTGGCTTGGCATGAAGCTTGGTTCTACATATGGGGCTTCTTGATTTGTTTTTCAAGACTCTTGCAGATCAGAGCTGAAGGATATGTAGTGTAGCTGTAAGTTGATGAGAAAACGTGTGATTTGAAAAATGAGCGGTCGGTGAAGGGAAAGATGAGTCATGACGGTCGGTATTTAGAGACCACCAGAAGATTTGGTTGTGTGGTAGGTATTTATGATGAGAAGGAAGCAACCGAACGAGAAATTGCTCAGATAGAAAGAAAGAAAGCAAAGGTTCAAGTTAAATTAAGTTTTCGAATACAGACTACAGACTACAGCTGAGTTGAAGAATATGTATCAAACTAAACCAAATTGAAATTCAAAATAGAAAACTTTTACAAAATCGATTAGTCAACACAGCCTATCTCAGCTACAGCCTACCTACTTCTCAGCACCATCCCGAACTATATCAGAAATAGAAATAGAAATAGAAAGAACTCAAACAGAAACAGAAACACCTTCACTATTCACTATCATCAATGAATTAGCAAATCTTCATCATCATCAATACTATCATCACCACCATGTCACTCAATACTACTACTTCAACTCCACAACAACCAAATCAAACTCATACTCAAGCCTTAGCATCTATCACTGCTGCCATCGCTTCACTTCAATCTCAACAAGCCATTCTAACTCATGAAAATGATACCATCAAAACTACAACGTCTCCTCCTTCTTATAAAATCATTGGAATCGTACTAGCTCTCGTCTCTGGTGTCTTTATCGGTTCTAGTTTTGTTTTAAAGAAAAAAGGTTTATTGAAATCTCAACAAACCGTTTTGGAAAAAGGTGGTCAAGTTGGTGAAGGTCATGCTTATCTTAAAAGTTTATTGTAATGTGTTTCTTCTACTGTTTGATTTCAAATCTGGCTTTTTTTTTTAATTCTTTATACTGATTTGATGGCTTTTCTTTTCCTTGGGTTGGATTTTTTTAGATGGTGGTCTGGAATGTCTATAATGGTAGTAGGTGAAATTTGTAATTTTGTAGCGTATGCTTTTGCAGATGCAATCTTAGGTATTTCTCTCATCACATCCATTCAATTCATCAAAACCGAAACCAATCCAAGAAATCCAACTAAGCTTTTTTTGGTCGCTTTTTTCAAATCGTTTCACATCAGTAACACCTATGGGAGCACTTTCAGTGGTGATTTGTGCGATTCTATCTTCAATCTTTTTGAAGGAAAGATTATCGTTTTTTGGAAAATTAGGTTGTTTACTTTGTATTTTAGGTGCAACTATCATTGCATTAAATGCTCCTCAAGAACAAGCGGTTTCTACTATCTCTGAGGTAAGTGATTCGGTTTCTATCCGATTCGATACCTTTCAAACTATTCAAATTCAAAGTCTTCAAAGTCATCATCAACCCACTCGGATTTACACATTCTCATCTCATAATCTATTCCGATTTATAAACTGACGATTTTTATTGATTCATTAAATCACAGTTCAAAAAACTTTTCCTAGCACCTGGTTTCTTAGTCTTTGCTTCCATCATCATCCTCTCTGCTCTTCTCTTAATCTTCGTTGCTGCTCCAAGATGGGGTAAATCAAATATGTTTGTTTATGTAAGTGATTTTGAACCTCATGATTCTAATCAGCTTGAAATACTTAACATGATGACTTTTTCTAGATCTCAGTTTGTTCTCTTATCGGTGGTCTTTCTGTTGTTTCTACTCAAGGATTAGGTGCTTCTATTATCACTTCAATCAAAGGTGTACGTTTTTTCCCCTTTCTTATAGCATTCAACATAAATAGCTTATCAATTCGAATCTCATCTTGTTTGATTTTTTAGGATAATCAATTTAAGAATTGGTTCATGTATTTTCTAATTGGATTTGTTGTTTGTACACTATGTATGTGATTTGATTTTTGATTCATTAGATCTTCAAAAAACTCATGTCGATTTGATTTGGATTTGATTCATAGTAACTGAAATCAATTATCTTAATAAAGCATTAGAATTGTTTAATACTGCAATGGGTTTGTCCTTGATCTCTCTCAATTTATCAAAATCAGATAGACCTTATTGACTAATTCTTCTTTTTGATTTTCCAATTAGTTACTCCAACATATTATGTCATGTTTACTTTTTCAACTTTGGTAACTTCTATCATTTTATTCCAAGGATTAAAATCACCTGTACTAGATATAGTCACACTTGTCTTAGGATGTAAGATGGGTTTTTTTGCAAATCACCAACTTTTCACAAAAGCTCAAACTAACCCAACTGATTTCATGATCTTTTTCCCAAAATGTTCATAGTTTTAGTCATTTGTGTAGGAATCACTCTATTACAAATGTCCAAGATTGATCCATCACAGCTTCGAGGTTTAGATAGAAGATCATCTATGTTTTTAGCCGTAGATAAAGAACCAGATGATGAACGTGGCACATCAGCTGAAGAACCTGGTATAGATGGATTAAGAGGATTTGCAGGTGTGATTGGATCAATGCATCGAACCAGTTTGATTGCACGACAAAGTAGATCTAGTAAACAAAGTCCGATTAGACATGATAGTGGAATGAGTCCTAAGATGGGTGGATCTAATGATTTGGAAATGACCGATAATGGGTTAAGGAGACATAGTCTTTGGGATCGACCTATTGATGATTCAATAGATGAAGGTAAGTTTTGACTTTTTTTTTGGAAATGTTGATAAGATGATTTTACCAGTATGGTTTGACTCAGACTGATGATCTTCTGTTTTGATCATTCTTTCTTTATGATGGTTTTGATTTATAGTTTATAAGATCCCAGAATCACCTGAAAGTCGAGAGAGTAAAGAAGACTATAATTTCGAAACACCTAAACCATTAACATCACCACATGAAAGTTCCATCCGACCGATCCGACCGATCATAGGAGGTTCATATCCTAATCCGATCAAATCACCTATCAACAAAAAAGAAAAAAGTTTAAGTGCACCTATTGTGAATCCAGAACCATATTCGATTTCAAATACGACACCACTTAAGATTTTGAGAAAAGATGAAGATGAATCGAATCTAAACAAACCTCAGATGAGTTTTGATAAATATGGAAAATTAGAATCGAATAAAAAAGTGAAATCCAATGGAAAGAATGTTTATCAATCTAGTGGTACTTCTAATGGACCTTTAACTAATATGTTTGAACAAAATGGATCTGGATCTGGATCTGGAGCGAATTCATCGACTTCCAATTTCAATACGAATAATCCAAGAACATTAAGTAATTTTTTAGGATTAAATTCTCATTTGAGTTCGAATCCATCCAATCATCATTCACATGATTCATCAAGTGGACCGATCGGATTGAAATTAAAACTCAAGAATCCGACTAGTAAATATAAAGAAGAAATTAAAGTAGATGAAGATCTTGAAACTAGAACGTTGGTTAGGAAAGGATCAGATGAATCAGAAGAAAGTCGATCGGATGAAAGTGTTGATCATCCTAATCATCCTCATCATCAGTTTATGAAACGAAATCGAAATGAAAGAAGTGGGGGTGGTAAAACAAATCGGAATGAACCGTTTTCGAATGATGAAGATGATGGGAATGGTGGGAATAGTAGTCGAGAGATCTCGGGTAGGGAATTGGTTTTACCACTTTAAGAAATTGGTTTGGGGGTTATAGGTATAGAAAAAAGGAAATTGGACAATAAGAAATCAAGAATGGATTTTTTTTTGGATTTTGGATTGGATCTTGGACTTTGGATTCTGGATTTTGGATTTTGGATTTTAGAATAAAGAAAATTAAAACGAATTGATTGATTGATTGAATTAATGATTGAATTAAAGTAGTACATACAAAACCTTTTATAAGAATCTGGGGTTTTTCTTTTTCTTTTCTTTTTTCTTTGTGTTTCTCTCATAGTCGTTTTTTTTTCAAACAAAATAAAAAGAAATCTTTACATTTTTTTCTTCTTCATCTACATACATACATATATAGCAAGTTCTTTTTCTTCTCTTTTCTCTTTTCTTTTGTTTGCATCTCAACGCTTCAACGCTTCATCTTCATTTTCTTTTTTTTGTATTAAAATTTCAGATTTACCTTTTTTTTAGTTTTTTTTTTAGTTTTTTTTTTGGTTGTATTTTCTTTTTAATACAAAGTTTTTTGTTTCAAAGAGAAAAAATATATGTGCAAGCAAAAATAAAAATTGATTAAAATGTGATTTGTTTTTTGTTTTCTGTTGAGTGTTTGATATATATTTATTTGATACATATGAAGTTGAAGTTAAATGTAGGAAAAGATGATTCAAAAGAAAATATAGAAGCAGTGATGGTCAAAAAGAAGGAATATGAGTTCTAAGATGGATTGAAATTGAGAAAGTGAGTTGATGATATCCGAGACCGTAGTAAATTGAGATCGAGTCGGACTTGGTTGATAAGTTGAATTGATTGCAAAAAAGTGAAAACCACTTTTAGCAATTCATGAACCGATTCTTCAAAAACCAATTATCACTTTCATCAACACCATTCAAGCCATCCATCAAGTTCAGATTCATGTCAAACTCAATCAAATCAAACACAGTCAGTCAATTCGGTGATTGGCCAGCTAAGAAAGTAAGTCAACGATCATGTTCAAAATAAAAGGAAAAAAGAAGATTAAGATTATGAATTGAAATCAAATAGGTTAGAAAAACATTTATAAATTATTTTCAAGAAAAATATCAGCATCAATTCGTACCTTCTTCAAGTGTTTGTCCATTAGATGATCCTACACTTTTATTTACCAATGCAGGAATGAATCAAGTTGAGTTTTACAGATTTAAATTCATGATCAAAACCTCATGAAAAACAAAAATAAAAACACAAAAAAACTGAATGAGTTGATCTTAATTTGATTAGTATAAATCGATTTTCTTAGGAACCATTGATCCATCTAATCCATTATCGAAGATCAAAAGAGCTGTGAACAGTCAAAAATGTATAAGAGCAGGAGGAAAACATAATGATTTAGATGATGTAGGTAAAGATACATATCATCATACGTTTTTTGAAATGTTAGGGAATTGGTCCTTTGGTGATTATTTCAAGGAAGATGGATTAAAGATGGCATGGGAACTTTTAACTGAACTTTATGGATTACCTAAAGATCGATTATATGTCACTTATTTTGAAGGGGATGAGAAACAAGGACTTGAGCCGGATTTGGAATCTAAACGGATTTGGTTAGAACTTGGTGTACAGGAAGATCATATCTTACCTGGGAATGCTAAAGATAACTTTTGGGGTAAAGTCCAAGATTTTTCGGGATTTCTTTTCTTTTGCAATGACTGATTTCGATTGGGGTGTTTTTTTTCCTTTTTAGAGATGGGGGCTACTGGACCTTGTGGACCTTGTTCTGAAATTCATTATGATAGAGTAGGAGGTAGAAATGCAGGAAGTTTAGTCAATCAAGATGATCCATTAGTGATTGAGATCTGGAATAATGTCTTTATAGAATACAATCGAGAATCAGATGGAAGTTTAAAAGAATTACCATCAAAACATGTAGATACTGGAATGGGATTCGAAAGATTAGTTTCAATCTTACAAGATAAAAAATCTAATTATGATACAGATATCTTTAGACCGATCTTTGAGAAAATTCAACAACTCACGGGTGCAAGACCATATGAAGGAAAACTTGGAATTGAAGATCAAGATGGGATTGATACGGCTTATAGAGTTGTAGCTGATCATATTAGAACTTTAACCTTTGCGATTAGTGATGGAGGTGTACCTAATAATGTGGGACGTGGTTATGTATTAAGAAGGATCTTAAGAAGAGGTGCAAGGTATATAAGAAAAAAATTCAATGTACCGATTGGAACGTTTTTTTCAAAGTTGATGCCAACTTTAATTGAACAGATGGGAGATGAATTTCCAGAAATCGAAAAAAGAAGATTAGAAGTGATTGAGATTTTAAATGAAGAAGAAGATTCCTTTAGTTTAACATTAGATAGAGGTGAAAAGATATTTGAAAAGTATTGTAATCGAGTTAAGAAGAATAATGGAAAAGTTTTAGATGGAAAAGAAGTTTGGAAACTTTATGATACGTTTGGATTTCCGATTGATTTAACTCTTTTGATGGCAGAAGAAGCTGGAATTGGAATTGATCAAGATGGATTTGAAATCGCTCAATCTGAATCAAAAGAACTTTCAAAAGGTGGTAAAAAGAAAATCGTAGGAGCTGGAGTCGAATTAGATGTACATTCGATTGCTGTTCTAGAATCTAATTCATCTGTACCCAAGACAGATGATTCAAGTAAATTTAGTAAGTCATCTATTTTGATTTTCATGTCTAGATTCTTTCGAATCACAAAAAAGACTGATCAAAGTGAAATCTTTAGGTCTTACAACCATTAATGCTACAGTCAAAGCCATCTTTCAAGCTGGAGAATTTTATTCATCAAGTAAAGAATTAAAATCCGGTGAACCATTTGGAGTGATCTTAGACAAAACTAATTTTTATGCAGAACAAGGAGGACAAGAAAATGATACAGGTACCTTGATTATTGAGGGAGAAATGATCTTTGATGTAGAAGATGTACAAGTGTTTAATGGTTATGTATTACATATTGGAAATTTATCAGAAGGAGAAATTAAAAAGGAAGATTTAGTTCAATCAAGTTTTGATGAATTAAGACGAAAACCCATCAAAAACAATCATACAGGTACTCATATTTTAAATTATGCATTAAGAGAAACGTTAGGAGATCATATTGATCAAAAAGGTTCATTAGTCAGTTCAAATAAGTTTAGATTTGATTTTTCACATAAACAACAAGTGAAGGCTTCAGAATTAGAACAGATTGAAAAGATTTGTAATGATTGGATCTTGAAGAATCATTCGGTTTATTCTAAAGAAATGAAATTAAGTGAAGCTGAAAAGATTCCAGGTTTGAGAGCCGTCTTTGGTGAAAGGTATCCTGATCCAGTTAGAGTGGTGGTCATTGGACCTGAACCGATCGAACTTGATGCGGATCAATTAAATGAATCGAAATGGTTAAATTATAGTGTAGAATTCTGTGGTGGAACGTGGGTAATGTTTCATTCTCTTTACAAACAAAAACTTCTTGATTGACGTTAAGAATTGGTTTTTGAATTTATATTAGACATGTTAAGAAAACTAATGAGATTAAAGAATTGATTTTAGTTGAAGAATCTGGGATTGCAAAAGGAATCAGAAGGATTGTTGCTGTTACAGGTGAAGAAGCTAAAACGGTGATCGAATTAGCTAATGAATTAAACTTGAAATTAGATAAGATTATTGAATTACCTATTAAAGAAAGAGAACAAGGATTAAAAGGATTTTCGGTGGTAAGTTTGATGTTTTTTGTTAGATACATTTTTTGAGGAGGGGGCTTTTTGAAACAGAAGAAGATCAAGAATTGAATTGAATCTAAAATTGATCATTTATTTCTTAATTTATTTATTCATTTATATTTTGTTAGGAATTAGCTGGAATTGAAATTTCGGTAATTGAAAAATCAAAAATTAAAGAAAAGTTTGGAGTCGTACAAAGAGAATTGATCGAATTAGGTAAACTTCAAACCAAAGCAGATGAAAAGAAAGTAAGATCAATTTTTTTGATTATATCACAAGTTCTTTTTGAAGGATTTTGTTGAAAGTCAATTGGTTTTTTTTCTCTCTCTCCTAGGCAACTCAACTTGTTAAAGATTGGATCGAAGTTCATCCTAATGAAAGAGTTATGATTGATGTATTAGATGTTGGATCGAATACAAAAGTAAGTAAAGCAAACCCTAACAATCCACATCATTCTTTTTTGATCCCTTCATTCAACTTACTCTTTTCCATGGAATCCCATAGTGCTTGATGTCTGCATGTGGAATTTTGAAAAATGAAGGTAAAGCAGGATACTTGTTTAGTATTAACAAATCAGATGGAAAGATTGTACATGTGAATTCATTGACTAAAGAAATGGTACAAGATGATTGGAATGCGAAGATTTGGATGGATGAGATTATTAAAGTTTTAGGTGGAAAGGTAAATTCTAATTTATTTATTTATTTATCATCTCAGGATCTCTTTTTAGGTATCAGTCTATGATTGAATTTTTGATTTGATTTTTGATTTTTTTGTGTGGTTCTTTAGGGAGGTGGAAAAGGTGATACTGCTCAAGGTGTTGGTGATCAAATTAATAAAGTGAATGAAGCTATTGAAATAGCTAAAAAATCGTTTTTGAATAAATTTAATTCTTTATAAACTAATTGAGATAGAGCCAGAGATAGAGAGAGTATGTGTGTTTATGTTTTTGTTTTTGAAAAGTTTCTTTAATAACACAAGATCTCTCTTACTTTGGTTTACTATTTTTTTGATTTTTTTTCTTTTTGGTAGTTCAATTTAATTTTTGAATAATTGTCAACCAAAAAAACTCCTCTGTTTAACAATTTTTGATCAATTAGACTCTTGAAGTTTTCAGTAAGATCCCCCGACTGAGGAGTTACCCTGACTGCAAAAATGAAAATATTGTGGAGCTGCATGTATTTGTTGGCATAGCTTGGAGTTTGGATTATAGGAGATCATTCATAAGGGTCCATGCAATGCGTGCCACTCTTTTGCCTTTCTGTTCAACATAAAATTAGTCTCAAAGTGGGTTTCTAAGCTGTTAGTTTCCCTTTCATACAACGAGTGTCTTTTTGCAAAGAGAGACAGAGGTAATGTACGAGATATCATGAGCTCGGTATAAATAAAAATAAGATAGACTTTGTGATAAATAATCGGGTGATTCAGACTCAGTTGTGGGGGGTGACCCATAGACCATTCACATTGATTGATTAAATTTATGAAACTCATTAAATAAAGCTACCTGATTCTGACTTGGAGAGAAATCAAAAGTGTTTGAACCTCAAACATCTATGAGGCGAGACATCAGTGTTGTGATCACAGAGAAAGCAAAGTATAAACTATCACTTACAAGTATAGCAATGTGGAAACGTAGAAATGTCCATCACACTACTGATCGTAGGGTTCCGAGATAATCCTAAAAACTCAATTCTGTCACTCAGAGTAGCATCCTGCCTGGAACTTCTTCTTCGTCGCTTTTTGGTTGGTAGAGATTCAAGACAAAGATGTATGACCATCAATAAACAACTTTCGTGTACAATTTGACACCTAACTCACATTTCCACCATATTCAAAAAGTCTATTGCTTCGATCGGCTTGTTGCCATTTCCACCAGAGCCAATCAATGTTTGCGTGATGTAAGAAAAAGAGACTATATTGATGATCCATATTTGTTAGTTCCTTTACTTCTTAATGAATTTGGACAGAAAAGAAATTCTAGAAGATAAGTTGACTTACGGCTGACAAAAACATTGAAGATGAATCGCCCGATGAAAATTAGAGTGTATACATAGAAGTTTCAAATCATTGTTCATGAATTCAAGAAGTGTAATGACCAGTCAAACTCACGTCGTTCACCGCTGTTGATGATGAGGGAAAGTCCTATTCAAAGTCATTGTATTGATTAATGAGAAAGCTTTGAAATTGGACAGGCGCCGGCACTACTCACCCCTCCAATTAGAGCGTGAATCGTGCTATGAGGACCAGGTTGGGCGTTCTCAAAGACATCGGGGTCTTGTCCCTACAGATCAAACAGGATCAGCACCTCAAGCAAAGACTAGCATACATGCAAAGGTGGAAATCAAGGCAACAAACCTCCACAGCAACCGCGAACTGATGATAGGTGGTCAAGCTTTGAATATTCCTAATAGCCCTCTGATCACTAAATCAAAGCATATGATGATGAGCCAGAGGAACACACGCAAGCATATAGCTGGTAAAGTGGTATCATACAAGTACTGGCTGGCAAATATGGATCCCCTGAACAATGCGAATACAACGCACGTGTGAGCAATTTTATCTTTTTGTAGGGGAAATTGAATATAACAAACCCGGAAGAGATCTCAAGGAAAGGATTCCAATTCCTTTGCAATAGATGTCTAAATGGAAGATTGAGTTGAAGTCTTGCAAAGGCGCCATCAACCACAGCTCCACCGTCTATCAACAGATTTCAGCATTTTGATGATTTCAGATCATACCATCATCGAGAAAAACAAGTCTTGTCCTCTCTTAGTCAAGACACACTAACCTAGACCAGTATTAGAAGAAGCAGTACTGGGGCCAGTGCCATTTGTGCCGAAACCGACCTACCAGGTTAGGAACAATATTGTAAGTCATGCATTGAATCGAAAGTGAAGGTAATCTGAGTCAGCACCTCTCTATCTGAGGACCAGACTGGGGCCGCCGTCACGTTTGCTGCGTCTAAAGTCCAATCCCATCTGGGTAGTGCACCGGTGTACCCGCAGTGAGATAAGGCTTCTTCATAAAGGTAGATAAAGTGTCGATGCCCTATATGATGGTAAAAGCTACATGACTCGATTCTCCAGTAACCTCAAGAGAATTGCCAAATATAGACTGACAAACTAAGAAATGGGCCACAAAATGTACCGAGTCTTGCAAGGTAGAATGAACGTATTGGAAGTCATCAACTCGATTAAGCCCTGATAGAGGCATCAACTGAGACGGATTGCTCATCAAACATTTGACAGCATCGATGTAAGAAATTTGATCAGCGCGGCTCAAAGTACGCCATTCCTGCCTTCGCTTGATAGAAGCACAAGTTTGACCTAAGATGGATTGTAAATGAGGGAGAGCGAAAATCAGATAAGTGACTAAAACGTGAGTTAAACAATCGGATCGCATCTTTTCGTCGTGATCTAGCCAGGCTGATAATACGTGTCTCGTTGTGCATGGCTGAACAGCGAAGGTGGTATATAAGGAGAAGACTTCAAAGATTTGTGCTTGACAAGGAACTGAGATTCAAATCAACAAACAAGATGAGTATCTGCCCTTGGTGGAATTCCCTATTATTTGCCGAACGCAGGCATGGGATCAGGTGGGCTGAGCGAATTTGTTCGTGACCTTCCATCATCTCTGTCTATCAGAAAACCCCCTACTCACCCGAGCTGCACTTCGTATGTCATCTCTATCTCAGAGAAATACAATCCTAGATTCCAGGGGCTAATGATGTCCCATTGCTGAGTCAAAATCCAAGTCACATGTATACTGCAAAATAACCTTGTGTCTCGTAAAACTCGCTGTATACACTCAAGGAAGTCCAAAGACGCTTCGGTCGACCTTGTAACCTCCGCCCAAGCCACCTGCAAGCTTTCGGTTAACCACTGGGCAGCCGACTGTTTTCATGCCCGACGATACGGTAGGTACTTTGGCTCGACCACTAATCCCATCGGCCATGAATCTTTCAATATGCTGTATGTTCACATCTGATATCGAGATATGAAGCCGTGATGCACAAGCCCTCCTAAAGATCATCATATATCGCATGTAGGGTTTTCTTCCTTGTATATGCGTCCTTTTGGCGCGGGCTGCTTGAAGGCTTTGCTAGTCGATGTATCTACAATCATGCTTGGGATATTCTGAGACAGCATGCCATATCATTTACTTACAAGCCTGGTATCTTTTCGGACGCAAGGAAGTACGCATCTACCTACTGTCATTTGACTTTGTGGGCGGGCTCCGGGGATATCACTTCAGTCTGCACGTATCGAAGCTCCTGTCTTTGCTTGCAGAGCTTGAAGCCGAGCAGATGCAGCGTTTGAAGACTAACTAAGGTGAGCGGAGCCATGAAACATGATCGTATTGTCCTCGTGACAAGCGCGGTGAAGGGCAAGGAATCGCGCGGTGTCCCCTAATCGTGAAATGACCGACTCGGCTGCATCGAACCGCATCAAACTCAATTGGGTTGACTATATCAACAGGAGCTCTACTGTAAGTTTATCTGTCGCACTGATCACTACACCCCATGTTCCGATCACAGCCTGACGGACTTCAATCAGGAGAAATATAATGTACCGTACATAACTCCAAGTAGTAGTCTCCTTTCGCAATGATACTACGACGAAGCAACTATTGTCCGGAACTCTTTGGTTTTGGGCAAGCAGCGTACAGAGGGATGATTGATGGATCACCCTTACTATCATTTCTTGTCTTCACCTCCTGTCAATAAACTTGTCAATTGGCCCTTCTTCTCAATTTCCTTAGCCGTCTGCTCCTTCAAACGTTTGATCGTGTTCGAATCAGGTGAAGTCAGGTTATCCCATACAACATATCCAGAGAATGCTACGAGAGCAATGCCAAAGCCTGGGAATAGGTTCTTGAATCTATGAGCAATCATCATGTAATATAAAAAGATAAATTCAGTACCTCCACAGTACTGGGCATCAGGGTCACTCGGACCGGAACAGACTACTCACTGTTCGCGTCTGGAGAAAATTGGGTGCTGCATGGATGAGATCCGTTGAATCGTCAGCGAGGATAGAAGGCTCGGTATATATTGAGGAAGTCGATCATCCAGTTTTGGTCACTCAACTCTCCGCCATGCTTCACGCTTTTGCCAAGGGTCCCGGTAGACTGCCTGGGGACCTCCCATGATGTCAGATTCTAGACCGTAAGCAGGCGACGGATCAATCCAATAGAATCAGTAGTTTCCTTAAGAAATTGAAGAAAAGTTTTCCAATGGAACTGACTATGAGTTAGTTGAGATGAATCGAAGGTTGACCACTTTCTCAATGTCGTCAATGGCGGTTTTCTAGTTTTAAGTTGATCAACAGTTGAGATTGAATGTCAAATGGGAGTGTGTCGGAATGACTGGCAATCCCACATGGGACATTCTCTGTGACAGTCGAAAAAGTCTAAACCCATAATTATCCGAACTGCGAGATGCAAAACAGATGAAATTCACAATTCATCCAACCAGCCTGAGAGCATCCGCACTCGTGCGGTAAGTCGGGTGCGGTAAGGTTAAATTTACCGCAAACGCGGGGTCTTTTCCACACCGGTGAAAAATTAGCCCCGCGGTAGTTAATTTTCGGTCATTTTGCGTTAGCGAATCGGTAAATTTACCAATTGGCTAACGCATGCGGTATCACACATCACGACTTGTTCCCGGCAACTCGACTCCAAAAACAAAACTCAACCAGACCTCCAACACCAAAGTCAACAACCAATATCTCCTTTTCACCACTCACACACGATGAATTCCAAGCCTTACAGTTGCATGAATCAACTCGAGAACGTTCGACACCGATCGATGTCTTCAATTGAAATAAGTCAATCAACCATCTTGAACTCGACTCCAAACCATTCAGATGAAAATGAAAGATGTCTAGATTCATATAGCTATGTAGAGGTCAATATTTAAGAAAATCAACATTAAAAGACCAATCATTGGAGGACTTTTAGGATCAAGTGATACAAATTAAAAATTGAAGTTTGGATTTTTATTTCCTAGTTTTAAATTCTTTAAATCTTTTACAAGATCATTATGTGTATTCAGACTCATTAAAAGCTTTCTCGATGTAGTAAAGCCTTTGTTTTTTAATTGGAATTCATGTATTAAGATCTGAACAAACTCATGTTAAATTTGTAATTTTAAATTAAGATCTATCGATCGAGTAGATGAACAGGATGATATCGGGTCTTCATGTGTAGATGGAGTATTAGTATCTTAGTGCAAAGAAGAGAACAGTGCCTCTATCACATGAAAACTGGCCATGAAAGCAGGTGATGTGTACTCAAAAAATTAAAACTTTACCTTACTGCACAACCGGTGCGGAGTACATGCACTATCTGTAAAGTTATAAAAGTTACAGCGCTGCTAATGCAAACGAGTGCGAAATTTGGTTGAGTTAAGTAACTTTTTACTTAATGTTGTGTTTGTTACCGCACGTGACCAAATTAACAACCGCAAACGAGTGCGGATGCTCTGAGATGGATATTCATCACATGAACGGATGTCATACACATCGCAGGGATTTACCCCCTTGTGAAGATCCATCAGTGGTTTTTGTGGGCTTTTAACAAAAGGAAAATATCATAGGTCTTGGTGGAGAGAGGCAAACCAAGAAAGTGGACTTGAAAAATACTCGCGGAGGCTTCCCATAAGGTTATAAATTATCTAGAAGAGAAACCCCGATTGATTTCACCAGTTTAGAAGTGGTTGAAAGGCTGGAATAAGTCTGTAATATCAGTTTCAACAACATGCCCATAGATCCACTGGTTGTATTCACTCTTACTTTGCAGTCACGTGTGTTCCAAAATGACACAACTGGAATAAGCTTGGTGTCAAATGTGGTGTCAGGTTCAATCACATTCAACTTATGTTTGATTCCTTTTGCAGACCCCTGCTTCCTTGAACAATCTACATGGTAGCTCCGCGATCTCTAATCAAAGCTAGAGAAAAATAGTCCATAAGAGGTGCAACCAATAATTTTCAATAGATTTTTTTTGATATTGAATAAGCTTTTTAGTGTCCATGATTTGCACTGCTTTTCAATTTATGTTCTCCAGTGAGTTTTGCTCTCCAATGAGAGTAAAAAGTCTACAAAGCAACCTCAACAATATCAAAATATGGAATACTCTGGCTAAATATTTGGGAATGCTTGAATACCATCAATCAGTTTTTCAAAGTCCCAGCTGAATTCACTATACCACTCTTGTGAGATACTTTAGCAGGGAAGCTTTACAATACCCATACCATGTTTGAATTTTCCACTCAATCCCCACTGTTTTGCTGATTTGCATGGAAACCCTTGCACAACTGATACTATTCTTCAATTTCAGTCGTACCTTGACCAAAAACCCAAATGTCACCATTATTGGACAATTTTCTAATGGTTAGAAGATTTTTACACTCAAATTTACACTTGATGAGGAGTGTAGAAAAGGTGGAGTCTAAGGATCTATCTGACATTGGTTTATATACAATTTTACACTTGATGCCTATAAAATCTTAGAGGGCAAATAAGTAGGTGCAATTCTATCTCTAATAAATCTATATCTATTGGTGATATAACATTAGGATCTGATGAATCATGTTTTGCTTTTCTTTGACTTATGACTCTTGCCATGATAAATGATGACTGATATATCTGAATTTGAAGATAAAATGGTATGTTAGGTTACTAGGTAAGATGCAGAGTCAAAATAAACCGTGATGGCGTACATAATCTGATACCTTGCGAAACATCAATTTCTGGAATACTAAGTGCACAAGAAAAATTAGATATCGTGAAAAGGCCTTTAAGTTTAAGGACCTGATGACTTATTTTCACCCAGATCATACTTCGTTGATTGGGTTCAAGAAAAGTTCAACCTCCAATACCACAAGGCAATTTGTGAGGCAAAAGATGGGCTCGACTGAGCTTTTGGTCGCACAATGGAATACGTATCTGTGGGCGTAGATGGATTTTTGCACTGCTCATATCAATATCAAGTGCGAAATATCCAGTGTGAAATTATATGTGATCACATTTAAGATCAAATTTTACACTCGACAACTTGCACTTGATTATTTTGCACTCTAAGATTTTAAAGGCATCAAATGTAAAATTGTATTTAAACCAATGTGAGATAGAGCTTTTCATCTTGTTTACACCCCTTTTCAAGTGTAAATCATTGAGTGTAAAAATCTTCAGACCCATTTGTATGGCATGGCCTGAAAAGGCAAGAACAAAATAACAAGGTTCAATGGTATTCATGTATAAATAACAAGAAAAAATCCAACTATCTCTCCCATCCATGATTAGATCTGTATCTTACAAGTATATATTATATGTATCATCTCGGTCATCCGTTTTTGATATGCTATTCACAATGCGGTGTTAGTCACCTCGATCAAGAAAAGGGTCACGGAGGAAAGACGTGTCTATAGGTTGTTATATTGTACATTTCATTAGGATTTGCTTACTATTCTAATCTACCTTTCTCTTCTTCAGCTGCTTTTCTAGCTCCCTTGATGGCACTGGCAAGCTTCGCTGGATTGACTTTAGGTGGATTAACTTTGGTTGAAGTAACTTTGGGTGGATCATGAGTTGATGATTTCTGAGTTACATTGTCTCCTTGTTTTTTCTTGTCATCTGGAGCTGGCGTCGAGCGATTACGATGCGTGTTGATAGCAGTGATTGAATCGATCTGCTGTTCATCCTGAAGAACTTCCGCAGGCACAGGAGGTCTCGGATTTGCCGGGGGCGTCTTCATGGCCGATCGAATCGGTGCAAGGGCTGCGCCAGCTTGGTTACGACTCGGAGGTCGGGATGGAATTGTATCCTCATGAGAAATCTTCTCGACATATGGATCAAAAACTACACTCTGTGTTAAATTACGGTCGATTGGGCTTTTGATGACGCCGCTATTGGATTCTGTGTTACCATTTGTCGGGCGATCTGAATTTGGAGTAGAAGTGCTATTGATGGCGGTACTTGTTCCAGCACGAGGACTTGATTTCAAGTTGGATGGGTTTGATCCGCTCGACATCGCGCTCGAGCCAGGCTGGGAAGCATGCACAGGAGGCGCAGAAGATGATGATGGATGATTCCTAGCATAAGGAGTGGGTGGTCGCGATGAACGTGATAGTCCTGAAGTACAAGATAGTTTTGAACGTCAGACTGTTGCTCATGCAGTAAGGATAGTTGTGTATGATTGCGCAGATGGGAGGATGAACGTGAGGCCGAAGGGTCAGCAACGTACCAGTACTGGGATATGCCGGGCCAGACGATGCGAAGGGATCGTTTCGAGGAAGCGAGTCAGAGGGCAAATGTGATGGACTTGGATTTGGAGCAGCTCTGCTTCCTGCTGGACGCAATCCGCTCATACCTGATGATTGATCCAATGTCAAATTCGTATCTTGCAATCATAATTCAATTTCAAATGAGACTATGAGTGTTATACGATTTTTAGACTGAAGTTGTTCAGACATTGTGTAGGTTACAGAGTCAATGATTTCAGGCTTACGTCTTAGTCTTTCGAGTTCTGTTTGATAGGGAACACCAGTACCCATCAGCCCAGGTCCGAGAGAGCGAGGCCGAGGGCGTATCTCCCCCCTACGTTCGGCGTATTCTCTTCGGATCCTTTCTCTACGCAATTCATGTTTGATATTTATGGGGCGGTACGGCTGCTCCATCCAGTTGAAGATTCTGCGCCCGAGGCCAAGCCCTCCATGGTACCACATTGGGTATCTGATCTCTAACCCAGGTGTAAGGCTATAGTGTTTTCTTGTACGCATTGCTGGGCCTGCGAGTGGGCAAGTGGTATAGCCCATGCGAGAGTTGAATGGTGAACCAAAGAGATGCGCTGCCCAAAAAGAGCCCTCATCGATCCCAATCTGTCGACGCGCATCTACATTCATGTCGCTCCACAATCTTACGCGTTCACCACTGTCTTGGATTTCTTCCCAGCGGAGGCGTTCTCGCCAGCGCCGTGAACGTTCCTGCTCATCTAGACTCCGGTCAAGACGTAGTAACATCTCAAAAAGGTAGAGATCATCGAGCAAGTGCGTATTGATGCGTGCAAATCGGTCTTGAGATAGGCCATAGCTGCCCAGCGCTTTCATCCGACCATAGCCGTAGTCAAAATCAATCGGCTCCGTGAAGGGGTCACGAACGTACACGTTTTGACGGCTTGTACCACAAGCGAAGAAGCCATCCCGATCACCGAAGAAGGGCAGTCCTCGTGGTAGGTGATTTGTTAGTAAGTGGTAATAAGCACCAGCTATTCCACCCCCGGAAAGCGCAAGGTCTAACTTTGGCGTCCTATCTGAGAGCTTGCGTGCCGCCGCCAACCAGCGTGGTTGATACAGATAGGAAGCCTTCGATGCAGGCTCGATAGGTTGGCTTAGAACGTGCCCGAAACGAGAAAGCTTGGCAATCCGCCTATTTGAGTCAATCTCGCGATAATGATTGAGCATGGTCAATTGTCTCTCGAGCTGCTTGACTTCAGATGCTAGCTTCATTTCAAGATCCGCACTGTCTTGGAGAGAAAGTTGTTTCTCAAGATCATTGCGTTGTCGGTCCAATTCCATTTGTCTCGTATCGATTTCATTGAAGAAGGTGGCTGCGTCGATATTGATGGTAGATAATGACTGCTGTTCTTCGGCAACTGAATTAGGCATTGAGATAGTCCCTGAGAGATTGAGCTTGTTCTTGTGCTTCATGTTATCTTCCATTGTGGTGAGTTTGTCGACTTGCCTTCTGATGTCATGAGCTTTCTTGATGTTTTTCGGGGTAGACAATTGATGAATGGAGCTCTGATAGCTTATCAGTGACCTGGGGGAGTGCACGGCGGTCGAGTACGGTGTATGTGATGTCACTTCTGATGAGACGGACATATCCGGTATGCAAAAAAAATCATCGAGAATGGATACATTTGAATTCTTGGAAAAAGCTCGATGAAGAGACGCATCTAATTGGGATGTAACATGATTGATTTGCTCGCGTTCAGTATGATAGGGTTGACGAGTTGGAGGAAGTCCATTCAGCTTGCTTTTTCTACCTAGAATGTTGCCATCGACACTTCTTCGTCGGTCGTTTGAATGGTGTGAATCCGAAGTTTGATATGCAAAATTGGTGGATGAAGGTGAGTTTCCCAAAATCTCGGATCTCTACAAAAGGAGTGGTACGAGGCGGCGTCAAAGCAATGCTTTAATCATTTTTATGCACTCGTGACAGGCACAACCAAAGAGTCATTACATGCATATATCTGTCTGCTTGGTGAAGCTTGAGGTAATCATCGCGCCATGAATCGTGTCCTGTGAGCAAAGCTTTACATCACTCAATAAACGGAATGATTTTTGAGAATTCGTTGTGTTTCTGCTTACTCGACGCACTTGGACTCGTTGTGAAACTTTGATTGGTCGCATACGAGTCGAATGGCGCCTGACTACCTCCACGAGACTCATATAGTAGAGCGGCAGGTGTACTGTATCCTACATCCCAAACAAAGTCAAGGACAAAGGAAAATTTAGTGTAACCAAAAATGACGAGTCGCGACCCAGCCATCACAGTCACTTGCAATACATAATCAGGGCCTTGCTGAACATACCTTCGGAGTAATCTCTGTCCTCCTGTTTCAGGATATCACTATCAGAATGCCCAGAAAGGTTATAACGGAGATCATAAGCTGATTTGAAATCATTCTCGCCAAAGTGCTGTTTTCCTCCGTGACCCGGAGACGCATATTGTTGGCGGGAAGGTGGCCTGTGGTATGGCGACCCGGGTGATGCAAAGGGTGATCTGGACGTTGGTGCATAGCATTCATTCGTTGAATTACCCCCTCGGCTTTCCCACGAGTAGTGCGCAGGTGGTTCCAGATTGCTAAAGCTCTGTGGGCGAGCCTGTGATTGGCCATCGCCGTACCGACTGGAAATCGCAGGATGTTGCTGTCGGGTAGGATCATATGCGCCGTGAGACTCGGAAGCACCGAAGACAATGGGTGTTCTGCTACCACTACTTGAATCGAAGTATGAATCATTGCATTGTTTTGCTAGCTCTGGCGTTTGAGTGCGGCGTTCAGGATTGATTCTGGACGTGTGGTCCAGAAATCTAAGGTCGGTATTATAGTGATTTCTGGTGTCCGTGCTAAAGCTCAACTCAGATTGAAGATCGTAATCCTGATCATAAGGGTAAGAGTGCTCGCTTTCGTATCCTTGTTTGTAAAACCTTGCCTTGACAGACCCATGGTCATGATCATAACCTGAATATTTTCCTGTATGTTCAGTCGAATTCTTGAATCCTGACTGCAAGCGTTGGTCACGCAGATTGTTGACATGCGAGTACGAGGCGGACCCAACAAGCGACGGATTGTATTTCGAGGACATAGGTAGATCGTAACCACTCGTGGTCCGCATGTCGTCAGAGAAAAACTGTTCAGATCCGGCATGACTTGGTCCCCGCTGTAGGCGAACTAATTCTTCTCTGGCCTCGTTCCAATCTTCATCGCTTACGCCGAAAGATCGAGAGGATGTAGAAGGACCCCGCTTGAATGAAGGACTCGAGTAAGCAGATAAGCTCGTATTACTACCCATATGCGTTGCTATAAGTAGATGAGGTTATAAGCAACAGTCAAACCAGGAAGAATGACCGTGTTGTGCAAACCTCGACCTGCTATATCGAAATCGCCTGCCCATCTGGTCGAAAGTGAGCCATCCACGTACATCTTGCACGTATTACGTGTTGACCCGTTTTGGATTGAGGGGCCACTTCGAAAGCTGTTGAGTTACTTTTGTAGGATGGATCCCCTTGATGGCCTGGATTCCGACTTTGAAGCAGAAAGGGAGTCGACATAAGTTGTTATGATATCACAAAATCGCTCCCCTCAAAGGTTAAAAGCTGTGATTCGGGTCCGAGCCGCTGTGTAGATCGCAATCTCCCAGGAAGAAAAATCTGCTGAACTGTCAGGTACTGGAAGATATTAGCTCGTGAGAGCTTGTGTTGTTCAACACAGGTTGATTTGGACAACACGAAAACACCTTGAAGGGAATTGCCGCGGAGAGAATGACTGGGAATCCAGCAGCCAGCAATGGGGCAATGAGCATACATTCGTGGATGGTACGAAGTACAGTCGTTCTCAGAAATGTTGGAAAATTGCAAAATCTCGAGCTGAGCTCGGGGTCCGTGCGCTGAGCAGTGACACGCAGATACAGTGGGTAAACCCGAGTACGTGTTCCGACCTGCCCTGCAAAATCAAATTTCACCTTTCGGGTCAATGTCGGGGCACTCAATTTGAATGTTTGAGACTGGCACCCAGACCATTGAAAAGGCATTGCTTTGATGAATCTAGGAATATGGTTTTGGAGACCAAAAATATGATTTTACTCTTTTAGAGGTTTGGATTTTCGGACCTAGGCCTCAATTAGGTACCTATCTAGCTACTTAGCGGCGCACTAGGCCTATAATTTAATGAATATGGCTGCTCAAGTGGCAAATAACAACCAAATTTGCTTTTTTTTCAAAAAAAACCAAAAGTTTTGCAGCCTAACACCACCCTTCAACCTTACTCTCCCGCCAAAAAAAGCAGAAAAAATGGCAAAAATTTCTCAAAAATTTCGGACCCAAACCTCTATGCGGACTGGCTTGGAACACGTACTCGGGTTTACCCACTGTACAAACACTGACAAAAACTTTGATTTTGACAGGTATCTCAAGATGAAAATTCGATTACTTTCCATCATACCTCGATGACCAGACTACTATCTTGCCAATGGCCAGGCTAACGGACCAATGTCTTCAGAAAAACGGTGAAAACATACGATTTCATGGTTAAGGGGTTGTAACACGAGCTGAGGATCAGAGGAAGGATGGCATGGAGAGGACACAAGGGAGTTGAGGTTGGTGAAAGGGACACTGATCTCCACTCGACAGCTGCCATGACTTTTCCGTGACACATGTCATGAAAAAGTTGCCTCCTCGGGACCACGACCTCAGCTCGAAATGTTGGATTTTTCCAACATTTCTGAGAACGACTGTATTATCAGAGTGGAATCTGTGAAAGGCGACGGTCACGAACACAGGTTGTTGACGAAAACGCTCTCGAAAGAGCTGCATTAAAAATTGGCAATACGACATTCACCCCAATGGATGATTCGTGCCAAAACCAGATCCATGTTTTTTTCCCTTTCGTTTCACTATCTACTTGTCTTTCCAGATTTGTCCCAGAAGAGACCTGTGTCGAAATTTCCATTCTCTTCAATTTCATCAAAAACAAATCGTAATCTATATACGCAAAAAATTTATATTGTTATTTCTAAACTTGTCTACTATCTCCTAAAAACTTTCTCTCTATCAAATCAGTCTTATCAGTTTATTATCTTTGCTGTCTAGTTCTTTAAAATTTTTTTTCCCGCCCACCACCCTCTAGTCAGACTGGGGTTAAGTTTCAGGCTGCCGTTATCTTTTTCTCTTATTCAGAAGTAGGGGGGCACTCCAGTGGAGCGCCCAGCGCCTAGTTTTGGGCCACCCACAAGTACTCTCTGCGCGCTCTCACATGAAACTCAGGCCCCAGGTCACATTCTCTGAGTAACCACAACAACCTAGTGCCACCTAGCCAAACTGATTCCATTCAAATCAAGTGATGAACTCTGTAGAATTGCGACTGACCCTTTGTTCCTCTTCGTTCCCTTCCCTTCTCAACTTCTGTACATCGACGTTTTCATACCCGTCCAAGTCTTTCCCTCAAAGAGATGGATACGGGATTTATGTATGTTCAGATCGATCATCCTAGAAGAACAAAGGGTATTTTGTTTTAAATTGACGTGCAACAATAATCGTCTGCGTTAACAAAAAAAAGCTCACAGCCTTGTGTAAGACTCGTCGTGTTTTTTTGTCTGAGATCCGTTGCAAACACTTGCATAAAGACCTGGTGCACATCCATCCATGTAGCCACATATCTATAAATTCAATTACTCATACCAGCGCACACATTTTATGGTATCACCGCGTCTTGCAAAATGAGAACGATATTTTCTCTCTCGCTGCCAATTACATTCAGCCTGGTGATTCTTCCAGAATTTTCTGCTAGTTTTTGATTTTATCCCTTCCAGATCACATTGAAAACCACCCCAAAATCATACTATGCCAAGCTGCACTGGTCTGTTCAAATTTGGGATAACAGCAGCTTCAGATTCACTGCAAACATTAATCAACTTCCCCCAGTGCGCAGGAAAAATGATTGGGAGTATCATTTGTCATAAAATGATCTATCACTCCACACCTGATCCATAACACCCACACTACATATGTGTAGCAGGCTCAGTGAATTGGTGGTTATCATGTACATACAGTTCTGCTCAGTTATCTGCTCAGCAGGATGATTTATTCATATGTAATACATGCTGTAACTTTTTCAGATTGACAAAAGCATTTAAAAGATAGACTACATACACTGACTCAACGTTTTGGTGTAATCTCATCAACTCAACTGCATGTAATACCCTTTCTGTTACTAAGAAATAGCTTCAAAAATATTGCCTGAGCAGCTACAGAATTATATGTAGTGAATTCTTGGGACAATTTTTTCCAAGTCAAAAAAGTTACATGTGGTATAACATGTGTGTTATATATTCTGATGGGCAAAAAACTGAGCAGACCTGTATGTACATGATAGAAAACTATTTACTTAGCGTACTGCACATATGTAGTGTGGGTGTTGAGGCTCAGGTGAGCGGTATTGGATCTTCTTATGACAAACTGTACTATTAATCATTTTCCTCTTCCAATGTGGGGAAGTTGAATGATGTTCACAGTGATTGACACGGGATTATCACTCCTAAAGTTTGACCTTCTTCATATTCTGAGACTTGGTGTACAATCCAGGAATGCAGGAGTGAGTATGAGTTTACTCAGTAAAGTGAGTATTATTGAGTATACTGAGTATTTTTGCCTATTTTTGGCCCTGTAAACCCGTAAAAAGTGAGTATCAGTTAAGTATATACTCATACTCGGTACTCATTCCTGCATCCCTGGTACAATCTATTAAAATAGTGTATATTAATTTTTTCACCTTGTATGACACAAGATGGACCAGAAAGCCACTTGAGTATTCACTCACTCCCAGTCTCATGAAAATCAATTTACTCTTTACTCTGGCTCTTTATCCGCAGGGGTTGTGGTTGGGACACCTAATTTTGTTCTGAAAGGTGCAGGTGAAGCCAAACTTTTTGAGCTTCTTGATCAACTGTGGCCAGTACAAGGAACAATGTATCTTGAACATTCAATATGACAAATTTAGATTTGAGTGAATGAGCAATTATATAAGGGGATGATAACTTTCAGGGGGCAAAGTTTCAGCTTATTGATCACAATTGATGTGTGTGTAATTGGGTATAGGATTGATCCAACATTTGAATTATGAACAATTATTCTTGAAGGTGATGATTGAACCTCTTTTTAGAAAAACTGATTATTTGCTTGATTTATGTCTTCCGGCTCATCCGGTTGAATCCCCATCAAATGGTTCCAGATTAAATGATTCACTCAGAGAAGGTGTGTCAGGTCAGGTCCAGAAAGAATATGTCATGACTGACTGAGTCTCATTTCAAGATACTATAAAACGTCATTCATGATTTCTGAGAGTATGTATAGCATGCTTCAGTAGAGTTATTGACTTCAAGTACATATAAAGTGAATAAAATGCAAAACATTAAGGGTACTCAAAGTAAAGTATGTAGCGCTACATACTTTTCGCTACATACTTTTTTTGGCGGGGACAAAGAAAAAAATATACTTTTGGCCTCGTCTCCCCCGCCAAAAAAAGTATATAGCAAAAAGTATGTACACGTACATACTTACTTTGAGTACCCTTATTGTATAGATTTTTAAATGGGTTGATCTTATTGAGGTACTTTAGGATTGGTGCTGAAGAATTCATAATATAGGTCAAAATGGTTAAATTCAAATCTGCGGAGGGTCAGCAGTACCATCATAGGTTGAGTGAATCTGGTGGAATTCAGAGCGATATATGATTGTCTTCTTTAGGTAGACAATTGGGCAATAGTACACTACAATGTAACATAGCCAAACAGGGATATCAAGCAAAGGGGAAACATTGGTTGAATTGTGTGCTTTTTTGATTGGAAGAGGTGAAGGTGTGCTATACAAAAAAGCAAGTATAGAATCTAATCACAAATGGGTGCCATCATTTTTTTTCAAGAATTGTTGCTTCAGAATTTGGTCACCAAGAGATACCACTGTGAAGCATCAACTGACTTGATTGGATGGGCTTTGCCCACCTTGAACAATATGGGAACTTCAGTAATTCATTATCTTGGCATGGTTAAGGACACCAATCAATTTGATAGTAAAAAATTTGAAGGGCTTTCAGAACTCTCGCGATGCGCTTGACTTAGATTCCAGTTGTGGTCACGGGGACTCGATTAGAGGTACCTCGAGGAATATGTTCACAGCTCGAGTCTGAGCCAATGAGGGTTAGAACTCAATGGCTTGTCAATTGCCCTCTTTTCTCCATTTCTGATACAATGTCTGTAATTTTGGTTGATGGTGACAAGAATTCCAGTTTGCGCATACAGCGTTGGGATGGAATTTTTTCAGTTTTTAGAACAACATGATTGGAAAGAGTGATGAAAGGGAATGATCAGTCTAGTACATGAGGATTGGGAAGGACACAAAAGAACACATACATGATCCTCTTCCGATGGAGAG